TAACTCTCCATTCTTCCAACTCCAATACTTATTAATTCTACCTTCTATCTCTATGCAGTTGACTATTATAGATTATCCATATAAATGTGATTACACAATATTTGTCTTTTTGTGACTGACTTATTTCACTAAGGATAATATTAAAATTCATACATGTGATAGAATGCATCAGAACTTTATCTTTATGGCTGAATAATATTCCATTGTATGTCTTTGTTGTTAGATGCCATCGAGTCAGTACCAACTCATAGCAACCCTGTGTACAACAGAACGAGAAACACTGCTCGGTCCTCGGCCAACCTCACTATTGTTGCCACACTTGGAGTCCATTGATGCTTCCACTTTGTCAATCCATCTCGCTGGGGGGCTTCCTTTTTTTTTTTTTTTTTTTAAGACCCTCCACCTTACCAAACATGATATCCTTCTCCAGCTGATAATATATCCAAAGTATGAGAAGCGCAGTTTGACCATCCTGGCCTCCAAGGAGCACTTTGACTGCACTTCTTCCAACACAGATCTGTTGGTTCTTTTGGCAGCCCATGGAACTTTCAATATTCTCTTCCAACACCATAACTCAAAAGCATCAATTCTTTTACAGTCTTCCTTATTCACTTTCCAGCTTTCACATGCATATAATAATACCATAGCTTGGGTCAGATGCAACTTAGTCTTCAAGCTGACTTCTTTGCTCTTCAACACTTTAAAAAGGTCTCATGCAGCAGATTTGCCTAATGCAATATGTCATCTGATTTCTTGACTGCTGCTTCCATGAGTGTTGATATTTGATGCAAGAAGGATGAAGTCCTTGACAACTTAAATCTTTTCTCCATTGTTAAGAATGTTGTTTATTGGTCCAGTGGTGAGGATTTTTGTTCTCTTTACATTGAAATGCAATCCAGACCAAAGGCTGTGGGTTTTGATATTCATCAGTAAATATCTTAAGTCCTCTTCACTTTCAGCAAGCAAGATTGTATCATCTTTATCTCACAGGTTGTTAATGAGTCTTCCTCCAATCTTAATGCCACATTTTTCTTCATATAAGCCAGCTTCTCGGCTTATTTGCTCAGCATACAGGTTGAATAAGTATGGTGAAAGAATATAACCCTGACACACACCTTTCTTCATTTTAAACCATTCAGTTCTGTTCGAACAACTGCTTTTTGGTCCATGTACAGGTCCCTGATGAGCACAATTAAGTGTTCTAGAATACTCATGATAGTTGATCCAAGAAGGATGAAGTCCTTGACAACTTCAATCTTTTCTCCATTGTTAAGAATGTTGTTTATTGGTCCAGTGGTGAGGATTTTTGTTTTCTTTACATTGAAATGCAAACCATACATAGCTTGTCATGATCCACACAATCAAAAGCCTTTGTGTAGTCAATTAATCACAGGTAAACATCTTTCTGGTATTCTCTGCTTTCAGCCAAGATCCATCAGACATCAGCAATGATATCCCTCGGTTCACAGCCTCTTCTGAATGCAGCTTGAGCCTCTGGAAGTTCTCTGTAAAAGTATGCTTGCAGCCATTTCTGTATTACCGTTAGTAAAACTTTACTCACTTGGGAATCAGAGATATTGTCTGATGATTTTCGCATTCTGTTGGGTCACCTCTCTTTGGAATGGGCACAAATACCGATCTCTTCCAATCAGTTGGCCAGATAGTTGCCTTCCAAATGTGGTTCCTTGTATGTATATACCAAATATACTGTTGATGGACATTTGGGTTTTTTGTATGGTACTGTGGGTTAATACAGTAGACTGCAAAGTTGATTTTTTTTTTAAGTTTTATTGTGAATTATGTGGTAGTTTACATGGGTACATGGGGTAACATTAGTTTTACATTCATCCTATCATATATTGTTTCATTGCCATGGTTACAATCCCCTCCATGCATCACCAGTCAATGAAAGGGTACATTCTACATGCTCCCCGCCCTCACCCCCGATCGTCACCCTGGGTCCCGAGTTCCCAGCTGCTCCATCTCTCCACGTCATCATCTCTGCCTCCATCTCGGGGATCACTGCTTCTCTGGATAGGGTCCTGCTGTCCACTCTTCTCCCTTCATGGTTCCAGGAACCACCACTCATAGCCTGCAAAGTTAATCACTCCCCTCCTTGCCACAAAATGTCTACTTTTACATTTACAACCTTCACAGTCAGTCCTGGTAACAATTATTCACCTTTGTATCACAAAAGACCTGTCGGCATTTCCTTTCATCAGTCCCGTCTAGACAGATTGGATACTACTCAGTGGAGATTCTACCTTCCTCTACGCCCTCTGGGTCTAAGTTCCCTCTTGAAAGCTTGTAAACTTTGTCACTTCTTGCCTTTGTAGCTCCCCCAACTTTGGATAGCCAATGTCCAAGTTGCCCATCCCTGTCCACTCTTTGTATGGAGGGGGTTGGAATGATCCTTGCTGTAAAGATTGGTTTCCTCTTTTGAGTTGCTGCATCCATAGGTGTAGGACAAGTTCATCAAATTGCATCAGATTACTCTTTTTTCCTCCTCTTTCTTCTTCTAGTTGTGCTCTGATCATCTAGTCATTGAGGCCAGGTCAAGTGGGTTTTATCTGCAAGTGTGGGTACTCTGTGGATATGCCCTCTCTTATCAGCTAAACACTCCATTCTCCACTCCAGTCCTCCATGGCTATGTCATTGATTCTGGATCCAAGAGTCCCCAGGTCTCACCACACTGCTGGCCAACCAGGTCTCCACCTGGGTTCACAGTGCAAAGTCGATTTGAACTGCAAGTTTAGTGGTTTAAGTTCACCAGTCACTGCTTGGAAACCCTCTACAGGGTTGCTATGGGTCAAAACCAACTCGATGGCACTTAACAACAACAAAAACATGTGCCATTGAGTCATTTCCGACTCACAGTGGCCTGTGTAGCTTTTTCAAGAAATGACTGGTAGGTTTAGATCACTGACGTTGTGGTTTGTAATCCAGTGCTTACCCTACAATGCCACACCAGAACTCTACAATAAATATTTGTATATCACTATTTGTTGAGCCTCTGTTTTCAATTCTTTTCTATACATATTCATTTTTATTCCCATAGTCTATATGCCTATATATAGAAAGACCATCGCACATGTTGGTGAAATGAATGAAGTAAATAACACAGGAACAATAACTAGGCAAGAAAAAATGAAAAATGAGTTAAGGCAGAAGCTAGTTGATTTGGGGCATAGATATGGAGTGGAAGAAGATGCATTGATGGACTTCAAGTGGTCTGTTAACCTTCTGAGTGAAATGAACATTCATAATTTGTTTTTATGTACTTTGTAGAAGACTTTCTACCTTCTCTGCTGATAAAGCCCAGTTTTGTTCAGCATCATTAGATGTCTCACAGAATCCAAATCAGACAAAAGAATGTAAGTTCATCTTAGTAAAAACTACCATCAAGTGGTAATTATTTGACCAATGTTGGCTTAGGAAAAGAAATGGAGAGAATTGTTCTCATGGCATAGAAGACATGGCACTGTGATAAGAAACTCTTTGCTCCTATCTTTCCTCTGTTGAGCATGTTTGTGGAAAGATATATTGTTTGGCGCTCTGGAAGTCACGAGATATTTTTTTTTATGTTAAGGATGACAGAACTGAAAGGAACAGAGCCAGAGTCTTAAATGAAAATATTGTGTCACTACACTAAACTGGAAACTGCCTGATGCCAGACTTATTTTATATGAGATAGCTGGTAGCGTAGTGGTTACGAATTGGGCTGCGAACTGCAAGGTCAGCAGTTCGAAACTACCAGCTGTTCCGTGGGAGAAAGATGAGGCTTTCTGCTCCCGTAAGGATTTACAGCCTTGGAAACCCTGTACAGGGTCTCTATGGGTTGGAACCGACTCCACAGCACATAACAACAACAACAACAACAACAACAACATTACTTTAGCAGTTCTTATATAAATATTTTGTTCTTGGAAAAAAATTTGAATGACTTTTTTGGGAAAAAAACATCATACTTTAATTTGTTGTTGTTATGTGCCGTGGAGTCCGTTCCAACTCATAGCGACCCTGTACAGGATTTCCGAGGCTGTAAATCTTTACAGGAGCAGAAAACCTCATATTTCTCCCATGGAACAGCTGGTAGTTTCAAACTGTTAACTGTGAGATTGGCAGCCCAATTCTTAACCACTATACTACCAGAGCTCCTTCTTGCTTTAATAATTAGTCTTAAAGGACACCAGCAGGACATCTTAGAATAATGATATGTAATGTTTCATATGCCATGGTGTCTTTAAAACCAGTTGCTGTTGATTCCAACTCATGACAAATTCCAACTCATATCAAAGTAGAACTGTGCTTCATAAAGTTTTCAGTGGTTGATTTTTCAGAAGCAACCATCAGGCCTTACTTCTTACAACCTTTCAGAAAATAGAAAAGAATATTAGCTATTTGTGCTATCTAGTGGCTTCATTTCTGAAAGGTTGGAGGTTCGAGTGTATCCATGGGCATCTCAGAAGTAAGGTCTGATGGTTACTTCTGAAAACTCAACCATTGAAAACTTTATGAAGCACAGTTCTACTTTGTTATGAGTTGGAATTTATCATGAGATGGAATAAACTTAACAGCAACTGGTTTTAAAGGCACCATGACATATGAACCATTACATATCACTCTTCTAAGACTGGTGGCACAATGTTTAAAACCTTGGCTGCTAACCAAGTACTCAGTTGGTGGTTCGAACCCACCAGTGGTTCCATGGAAGAAAAAAACCTGGTTATCTACTCTCATAAATGTTTGTTGTTGTTGTGGTTAAATTTCTTCAAGTTAGTTCCAACTCGTGGTGACCCTGTATAGGGTTTCCAAGGATTGGCTGGTGAGTTTGAATCACCAACTTTGCGATTCAAACCGACCTTGTGGTCTAGTGCTTTATCCTTCAGCACCACACTAGGAAACTCTATGGAGTAGTTTTACTCGGCTATATACAGTTTTTGTAAATTAGAATTGATTTCAAGACACAACAGAAAAGTGAAATAAAAGTCCCAATTTACCTTGACAGAAGGGTGACATTTCTCACAGATGCTAATCCATATAGCAGTTTTTCTTTTTCTTGAGCTAACGATGTTTTCTGGTATTGCTCTAGAGTGTAGTTCCATGATGTCTCATTGCCAGAATTCTGCATCCCATACCGATATACCAGAAGCCTAAGATTTACAGGAAGACTAAAAGAAGAAATAGTGTTTCAGAGAATCCTATTACTCATTTCTTCAGCTTAAAGATCTTATATAAATGGAAACATGATGGATAGTCACCTTACGCTTCCACTTAACCACTTTTCAAACAACTGGGAAGCATCCTCCAAAGCTGCTTTATCTCCCATTTTGCATGCAAGCCCTAACACAGAGGCACGGAGTAACCTTAGAAAACAAACAAATAGGCAAAAAGCTTGGGTGCTGAATATTGTTCATACAAACAAATGTTAAAATAAGAATAGTTTTTAAAAGATAAGTAATAACTTTGTTATGTGTTCTCCAGTATCATTCCATCCCAGAGAATCAGCAATGGGCTTCACTTGACCTTGGAAGTATTCCTGGGGGGTAAGAAAAAGCACCATGTAAAATGGATAACTTACTATTTATAAACACTCTCCCACTTGTTGTAATCTACAACCCCTAGTTAAAATCTTTTCGTTTTCCTTATTATTATTTTTACTTAATTCATAGTACTTTGGGCCTTTCTTTATGAAAAGGATGTACTCAATATCATCACAATGAAACTTTGTTAAAATCTTGAAATTATCTAGGAGATTTCAAGAATGTTCTATCAAATTTTGGGTTAGTCCCTTTTAATCTCCCCTTCTTAATAAGCATATATAATAGACAGAAAAACAAATTACATACTTATTGGACTAAGAAGATGGCTCAAGTATTGATAAAATAATTACAGCAACTAGCATATGTATATTGCCTAAGAATTTACAAAGGACTTTTATATTATTTGATTCACATCCCATTATAATTATCTACTATAATTTCTATTTTACAAAGAAAATTAAGAGTCACAGATATTAAATCATCTTTCCAAGGTCTTTAATTTAGTAAATGGAAGGCACTAAACCTTCAAGGTTGGTTTAAATTGCAAGGCTGGAAATTCAAACTCACTAACTGCTCCTCAGAAACTCTATATATAGGGTTGCTATGAGTCAGAATCAACTCTACAACACTTAAAAACAACAAGAAATTCATTTAAAACAGGATCCAGTTAATATCTATGGTTTAAAATGTTGTCTATTTTAAATAAATATTTATTGTTTTATTTTTCTGACACCATATATCTATAAGTAGTACACTGAACCACAAGTACCTCAATTATTGACTATCTTGTTATCTGATATTTCACAGTTATAGCAATAGTTAAAAAAAAAAATCTACTATCAAACATTTTGCACATTAATGAGATACATTTGGTATTGCTAAACACTGAGGTATAAGGCAAGAGTATCAATAAGTAGTTAAATTTATGTGTCAACTTGGCTGGGTCATGACTCTCAGTGGTTTGGTAGTTGTGTAATTATGCAATTTGGCAGTTAGGTAAGGAAGCAGTCATCCTCCATTTACTGACCTGATGTGGTTACCATCTATTTTCAACTAAACTCAAGTTTTGCAAATCCTGATCTTTGGAACCTAACCATGTTGGTCAATGAGAAGTGGGTGACTAACAAATAAGTAGAAAAAGAAGAGGCAACATCTTTTGCTTTGATTAGTTGATTCATTGCTCCTTTCTTTTGATTTTACTTGGCAAGCAGATGTGCTTTTGTGTTTTCCCAGAGGCTCCTTCTCCCAAAAACCTTCTTGTTCTAATAAATAATGAGACATTTACTTTCATAAGCTATCATATCATTAGCATCACCTCAATCATAGGGTATAGCTCTTTATCATCTTCAAACATGTTAATAATATAGGTTATAGCTGAAATGACTCTCTGCCATGGTAAATAATCCTCTTCAGTTTTAAGATACTTGGTCAAATTCAGAGCTGTTGTATAATCAAGAAGTTGAGCTCTGTGAAAACAACAAAAAACCATATTAATAAAAAAAAAAGTGTAGTTTTCATTTGACTGAAAGTATTAATATGGTTAAGGGAATTATAGAATGTACGTGAGAAATCTTCAGTTAAGTAATTAAGAAAATAGAGATTTTATTAATGCCCAAACATTTATTCACACACACACACACACACACACACACACACACACACATACCCATATAATGCTGTATTAGTGCTTTCATACTATACATACATATATATTCTGCTCAAATAATATAATGGAAGACATAACATTAAGTTATACATTTGAAGACAATCATTATAGTAAAATTTTAGATAAAGCAAAAGTCATTTAGCAATACAGCTAATGTTGATGAACAGAAATCTCTAAATTTTGGATTGACAAACTGATTATAATATAGAAGTGTACTGCTAAAAATTTAGCTTATTAACATTATTTATATTTGCAGATAAAGATGAAACATGAATAACAAATAAACAATAAATGCTTAAAATGTTTTAATTAAGCTTATGTTTTTGACTAAAACATCACTTCTTTCATACATTTCACATTAATCTTCATAAATAAAAATGGATTTTTTTCTCCAGAAATTCCAAGATGCTACTTTCATTTAAAATGTAAAGGAACCAATTTTTCCCTCCCACAAAATGATTCTAGAAATTGAAATAATGTTCTTGAAATCTGTTATTTTTCAAAAGTTAGCCTAGCTTTTGAAAAAAATCTCAGGTGGTAATCCTGTCTTTGAAAGTTTAAATTAAAGAATAATTTATAAATTATTGACAACACTATACTAGTGCAACCACCACTCATCTGTCAATTTGTCGTACTATGGTGGTTTGTGAGTTGCTGTGATTCTGAAAGCTATGCCACTGGTATTTTAAATACCAACAGGGTCACCCATGGTGGACAGGTTTCAGATGAGCTTCCAGATGAAGACAGACTAGGAAGAAGGAGTAACAAAATATTTCTGAATATTTAGTCACTGAAAACCTTATGAGTAGCAGAGAAACACTGTCAGATATAGTGCTGGAATTTGAATATCTCGGGTTTGAAATCACTCAAAATGTGCCTGGGGAAGAGCTGCTTCCTCAAAGTAGAGTTGACCGTTGTGACACGAATGGAGTAAAGTCTGTGGGAGAAAAGCCCTTAGGACCTTCATTTGCTGATGGGGCACAATTCAAAATGAAGAGAAATAACTGTAAACAGCCATTGCAAATCGGAACATGGAATGCACGAAGCATGAATTTGGGAAAATTGGAAGTTGTCAAAAATGAAATGGAGTGCATAAACATCAATATCTTAGGCATTAATGAGCTGAAATGGACTGGTATTGGCCATTTTGAATCAGATGACCACATGGTTTACTATGCCAGAAAGGATAAATTGAAGAGGAATGGTGTTGCATTCATTGTAAAAAAGAAAATATCCAGGTCAGTCATGAAGTACAATGCTGTCTATGATAGGATAATATCCATGCACCTACAGAGAACACCAGTTAATACCATTAGTATTCAAATTTATGCACCAACCACTAAAGCCAGTGAGGATGAAATAGAAGAATTATACCAACTTCTTTAATCTGAAATTGATCAAACATGCAATCAAGATGTATTGATCATTACTGGGATTGGAATGCAAAGGTTGGGAGCAAAGAGGAAGGACCAGTATTTGGAAAATATGGCCTTGGTGATAGAAATGATGCTGGAGATCGTATGACAGAATTCTGCAAAATCAGTGATTTGTTCATTTCAAATACCTTCTTTAGACAGCATAAGAGATGACTATACACATGGACCTCACCAGATGGAATACATAGAAATAAAATTGACTACATCTGCAGAAAGAGATGATGGAAAA